AAAAAAAAAAAAAAAAAAAAAAAAAAAAAAAAAAGCCTTGAAAGCACCAACTGAGAGCACCTTGCTTGGATCAAAAGTCCCCACTGGTTTTCCCCATGGACCCTGTGCTTCTGGATCTCAAAAGACAAGTCACAAGTCTTCATTTGCTAGGAAGCTCCTGCACTGGTTCTGCCAGGCTTGGATAGCTCTCCTTTCTGTCGATGGGAGCTGGAGAATGAGGATTCATTGACCCAGTCCTGATGTTTCCTTGCGGAGAAGCCTAGGGATTCTCCACACGCCCCACGGATGTCTTTCTTGAGGCTTTCCCAGAGCTCAGCAGTGTCGAGATCAGCAGGGAGGTCAGGAAACGTCTCACTAAGACACTGCTGGATTAGCCGGGTCTTGCAAGCCCTCGCTATTGAACCTCTTCCTTGGACGCTTCATTCACTTCTGCTGGGTGCTTTTGCATCAGTTAAGCATAAGCATCTTCCCAAGAGCCCTGACAAGAGGAGCCAACTCCACAATAAAGCAGAAGCACAAACTCCCAAGCCATGCCGTGCCGGTCGACTGCAAGTGTCTGGTGCTGCCAGCTGCTCTTCTTGCACCGCCTGAATGAGACAGGAGTCCTCCAAGTCAGGCAGCCTCCGTCCCCTCACCGCACACCTGGGAGGCGACAGGCAGGGCAGGGAACAGAAAACAGAGCAGCGAGTGAGGCAGGGAGCAGAAAGTGCACACGCCCCAGGGAAGACCCAACTCCTCCAGTCTGCTCTTCGAGTGCAACAAAGGCCAGATAAAAAGCTCAAGCCCTTTAGCTCCTGGCCAGTAAAGGAACAGCCCATAGCTTCACCTGGTGCCAACCATGTGGCCCCTTGAGTGAGAGTAGATTGGGAAACGGGTTCCCTCAGGGCGGTTCCAGCCCTGGAGAAGACAAAGGCCTCCTAACACTGGCCTTTGAAACAGGACAGTGTGGGGACAAGGGAAGAACAGGACAGTGTGAGGGCACTCGGCCACTCTGCCATATGCTAGGCTCAGCTCCCAGTTTCTTTTTCATGGAGTGAACCTGGTGCCACAGCCTGCTGTCCTCCCTCAGACCAAGGGCAGCCCAGGCTCAGTGCATCTCCCTCGGCACTGCAGCCGCCCCCTGCTCCTGGAGCTTGCAGCCCTCTTCCTGGTTCCACCCGCAGTCATTGCAGCCTACATAAACGGCTGCCTACGCGCAGTTGGAGCCTCAGCTCCTGAAGGCTGCTCCTCCTTGCACAGTAAAGGCACCATGTTTGGGAATGCATGTATAGCAGGGTGCACATTTCCCTTTCCAGATGCTATTTGTAATCATAAACAGATGCCATTTAATAGCAAACACTTGACAGGAAGTGAATCAACTGTTAGAGCAACCAGGAAGTCAGCAGCCTTCGAAGGCTCTTTACTCGTGGGATGGATTCACCAGAGCTGGGGGCAGCAAGACAAGGACACGGGAGCAGGGGGTGTGGAAGGCCAGGCACAGAATTCAACCCAGGCTGCCATCAGTTAAGAGGAGTGGGAGGGCAACTCTATTAGGGTTGCAACCGCATTGAGCTCCAAACAGTGAAAGGTTCTCTGTTAGATTCAGCTCAGTTCATCTTACCTTTGTGCATACCCCCCCACCCCCGCAACGTTCTAGTTCCTTTAAGTACTTTGCTGGAATTTCCCCCCCTCCCCCCCACATGCCCCCAAATAACACCCTCTCCTCCCCCCGCCTGTTTTTGGAAAATGGAATGAATTTAAAAGATTTGTTCCTTGCAAACAGTGGCGAGTAGTTTTTCATGGAAAACAGGCATTGGCAGTAAACAAGCAGGGAGGGGATGAAAAGCCGAGGGCTGCTATTAATCCCTTAGCAGCAGAACACGGCAGGTGTCAAGAGGGTTTGGGCAATCTGGCTCCAGCAGGAAAGGCCTTCGGCCGAGGGCCTGACCCTGCTGTGGACAAGCTGTCCAGCCCTCTTCTCTTCTTGAAGCAGCCAGCAGCATCCGCACAGTAGCCTGCTCACCCGGCTTGAAAGAGGGGTCCTTCAGTATCTCCTCTCCAGCACTTGCCCTTATTCTCAATAGCTAGCTGAGCAGGGCAGTGGGGAGGGTCCCATTTTATATGCGAGTAAATGCAGCAATTCTCTTTGTAGGGAAACTAAGGCAGAAAGCTAGTAGACGGGTCACTGGTAGGGAAGAAATAATGCAAGGCTCCTGGCTATAGACCAGATGCATGCATAGACCCCTTACATACAGCTCAGCGAGTACAGAACCGACAGCACGTTTTGAAGTGACCTGAAAGTGAGCTAATAAAAAACTACTAAGCAAGTACTTCTAAATGTAGGAAAACAGCTGGACAGGTAATACACTGACACCATTTAAGCTGGCATGGTCTAAGCCCCCTTCAGAGAGCAACTCCATTACTTTTTTTGCTACCACTTGGTGCAAGCCTTTCCAAAACACCAATGAATTAAAACGGACAAACACAAAAGGCAATTCTTTAAGACCTTTATTAACAGATGCTTGCAGTTTGACTTGAAAAAATCAGGTGTACATTTCATACAAATTAAAAATGAGGTTCTTAAAAATCTCAACTTGACCAGATATGAAACAATTTAAAAACCTTTAAAGGTGTATTGAGAAAAACAGGCTTTTTAAAAAACGTGTTTGTCGTTTCCAAAAGGAGACTTCTTTAGGTAAAAATAATAAAAACCCCATGCTGCATAGATAATGCAGATAGTTCTAGTTATCTGGTCAACAGCAAAAAGCAAGCACTTAAGGTCTTCAGTTCCAATTCTTTTGTTCATTTCTTATTGCTGGAATTTCTTATTCTTCTCTTCATTTCAGATTCTTTTCTTCTTTGATGACTAAACTGGAAAATGACAACAAAACAAAACGATGAAAAGTCACCAGCTGAAAAGGCTGACCAAGTACCTCACATCCCAAGGTTATCTGCAATACTAACAAATGCCAGAAGTAGTCACAGAATTCTTATTCCGAGTTTTAAATTGGACAGTTGGCAACCTATTTGTAAGAAGTTAATAATGCAGCATTTGATCATTAAATATACAAGCAGTTCCCACTGGCTTCTTTCATTACTGCCACCTCATTCTGCTAAGCACCTGGATATTATGAACCTACAGTTCAGTCTTATGGAGTTTGGTCCCAGTAACTATCAGGTAAGCAATTAAAGTGCTGGTACTTAGTTTGGGGAAACTGGGGGTGTGGGGTGGTGCCCCTAGATGCAAGGCTGCTTTTAGGTTTTGTTGCCAAGACATGGAGATTGAACTTCTTACCTCTCTTTTTAAGCAAAGATAGAAGACTTTCTGTTCCACTACCTCTACATAAAATATGCCCCGTATCTACCAGTATGCAAAGAAGGAATAGACATTAGGTTAATGTTTCACTGGTATCCATGTTAAAAGTTCTAGTTTCCATACGAAGCCTCAACATGCAAGTTCACCTTGATTAGAGTATTGCAAAGGTAACAGGCTAGTAAAAATAAAAATGATGTGGTCCTACATGACATTCAAATTCATGAGAATTTAAACTTTAAAAAGCTACTAGTCCTCATGAGATAACAGCCTTCAAATAACATCCAAGTTAAGGGGTAACCTTAACCCCTGCATTCCTCATTAATCCCTTTGAAGTGTTAACTCTGAAGGCTAAAAGATAACCGTAACGTGCCTGTTAACTACTTCACTGCTCATCTTAGCAGCTAGAACCATCACTGGTAATCCCAGTAGAGTGTGCGCCGTGAAAACTGGCGAAGGAGAGGAAATGCATATGAAAACAAGGGAGAAAAAACAAACAGCAGGAAGGAATTAAAACAAGTGGCAGGAACTAGAAACAAGTCTATTTCCAGACAATAATACATCATGACAAGGCGGCAACAAATGCTAAAACTGCCCTAAAAGTTTACCCACTAAAGGAAGGCCGCATATTTTAACCTACATCTTACACAACCCTCCCACAGCCCCTTTGATATTTTTCTCTGGGAAAATAAAGCCCAAAACAAAAATGTTATGACAAGCATAGTTGCATCAAATGCCACATATTAACCGTCTGCTTCTTGATGCAATTTTTAGCTGCACATGCAGAAATCTCAACTTGGTTTTTGATGGCATGCCACCTTGCATCTTCTGGCCTGATTTAGCACGCCTCAACATTACCATTCTCCAGTAACCCCCAGCCAATTGTTTCAGGTTCTCTAGACATTAGTTTTGTTCCTTCAAAGGGGAAGATTAAAGATCTTCTACCATCTGTTAGCATCCTGGTTTATTTTTCATCCTATAAAAGCTACTCCCCTCCTCTTCCAGATGAAGACCTAGACCAACTTCTACACTATCCTACCGCACATGCTACACCAAGGTACCGCATCTTTATGCGTATGGTTAGCCAGTTGTCAGGCCAGTTGACATTCATAGTTTCGAAGGACTTTTTGATTTGTGGTACCTATCATTATCTCAAATGCATTCCATTTACCACTAGTTTCATAATCTCGTAACTATAGCTTATAGTGCTTGTTAATTTTTGGAATTTGACTCCGATTTGTCAAACTTAAAAAAAGATATACAACTAAGGTTCCAGATACAGTCAGTCAGTCACACCAGATAGCTAACATTTTTACTACTACAGATTTCTACCAGCTTTGTTAAGGCTAGAACAGATCATATCCAAAATTTTGGCCATAGCGCAATACATACCTACGGTCCCATCAAATTAGGGAGGTCTTGTAATTAGGTCCCCAATTAGTTCATCTGTTCTGCAAACAGCATTTAAACCCTCAATCCCTTAAATAGAAGTTACCCATTCAACTCTCTGCAAACCAAGACTAATTTTAAGAACTGCATCCTGCGATGTCAAACTCTGATCTACCAGGTTAAATCCAGAACAGCCCCATGGTACTATCCCGTCCTCAGAAGGGAGGAGTTCAACACCCACCCGGATGATGGTAGAGATGGTAAGCCGGTATTTACTCAGCCCCGCCCTGCTCGGCCTCGGGAGCGGACGTGTTCTCAGCTGGTGGTTCGGCTGCCTTCGTCTCTTTGCCATCTTGTGGTTTAGGGTTCTCTGGGCGTCTGCGCCGGTAGTTGAAGTTGCGCCGGTACCGACGTTGAGGTGGCTGCTGACCTTGGGTCTCATCCCCTTGGTTTTCTTTATCTTCTTCGTTTCCATCCTCCCTAGGCGGTCTCTGACGAGGAGGACCCCTGGAAAAATCAAGACAGGCTTTACCCATACAGCACCTGGCCATCACATACAAACACACACCAAATTCCATAACTGAACATGCTGCTCTCCAACACACCTGCGAAATCGTGGTCTATAACCTCGATACATGTTCTGTCTGACTGGTCTGCCTTGTTCTCCTGCACCCTGGTTGTCAGCACCCTGAAAAAAACATGCACACTCTTAGCCAAATACAGGACTAAGAAATGTTAAAGCCATTAGCCAAGCCAGTACGGCTGCTTGACACACTGACTTTCAACGTTTGGGGAAGAGCTACGTTAGTTTTGTAACAAAGGACTGCACGGGAATTTAGTTCACTGCATTTTAAATTCCACGTGTAATTGGCGTTTTTGCATTCTTGGTACCTTGGCAAACAAAGGGTCTGCCCAACTTGTTAAATTCCAAGTCAGCAGATTACACGTAGACAGGCCAAGCTGTGATCAGGTTTGCATAGCATCAACGTTTCCCATAAGAGTTACCTCTACTATCTCTCCCTGCACAGGAGGGTTGGAATACTGTGGTCGACGCCCATAGGGTCTTCGCATATAGTAAGGTGGGTACCGCCGCCTGCGGTAGGGACGGCGCTGCTGGGCTTGACCTTCTGGTATGCTCTCTGATCCCTCGTTCTTTTCCCCACTCTCACTATTCTGATAATTCTGCTGGTAGTTGCGTGGAGGACCCCTACGACGTGGATATCGTCTGTAATGGTTACGGTCTGCTGCATATTTACTGCCTTGCACTGGAACACCGCCAGGTCCTGTAACATTAGCTGCCTCCGCACCCTAAAAACAGCAACAGCATTAGGTAATGATCATTATGTGAAAAAAAGGCAAACAGACTTATATCATCAGAAAACAAAGATAACTAACAAAATGCATAACCTCCTTGGACAGCTCCTTATTCACCTAGTCTGAAGCCAAACAGAATGCCACTTCTTCTGTGCATGCTGCATATGTTACAGAAAATATGCTCACCTTTTCTCCTTCAACCACATCAAACTCCACGGTCTCTCCATCTCCTACACTGCGAAGGTACTTCCTGGGGTTATTCTTCTTTATGGCAGTCTAGCAATATAACATTACAGAATTACATTTGGAGACACAGTATATACAGATTAACAAGCATGAAAAAAAAAAAAAAAAAAAAAAA